ATTATCTGTCAATATACATGTGGTTTTATAGCTGGGCTCTCTATTCTGTCCCACTGATCTGTGTGTCTGTTTCTCTGCCAATACCATGATGTTTTGATGACCATTGCTCTGTAGTATAATTTGAAGTCAGGGAGCATGATACCTCCAGCTTTGGTTTTTGTTTTTGTTTTATCCTCAGGATTTCTTTGGCTATCATTGTGTGTGTGTGCGTGTGCGTGTGCGCATGTGTATGTGTGTGTGTGCATGTGTGTGTGTGTGTGTGTGTGTGTGTGTGGTTCCATACAAATCTGATGATTTCTCATTCTATTTCTTTAAAAAATGACATTGGGATTTTGATGGGGATTGCTCTCAATTTCCTAATTGCATGCTTCATTTCCAGGATTTCTTATTGGTTCTTTTTTAAAGTTTCAACCTCTTTGGTAAAGTACTTGTTTTGTTTTCTGAGTGCATTGAATTGCCTGTCTATATTTTCTTGCATCTTGCTGAGTATTTTCAGAACTACAATCTTGAAATCTGTTATTTACATCACATATTTCTATGTGTACCAGCTTGGTTTCTGGGGATTTTTTATTTTCTTTCTGATCATCGTTGCTCTTCTCCTTTGCCTAGTCATGTGTACCTGTCTAGAATGGCTTCTATAGCAGCTTCCTCTAAAGAGGTCTTTCTACTATTTTCCAGTAGATGGTGCTGAATTGCAAGATTTTTTTTTTTTTTTTTACCACCTCTGATTTCTCAGACTTGACCTCCCTGGCTTCCCTAAAACAGTACAGCTGCACTGCTTGGGGATGGGGTTTGTTTTACCTTCACTATAATGGCAACCCCTGACCTCCATGGGGTCCCACTCCAAGCACCCCACTTGGGGATCAATCACAGAGGGAAACAGTGGTTCTACTGCAATAACTCTTGGTTTACAGACAGTATGCTCCTTGGGCTACTGGAGGTGAGTTTTGGGAGTCCAAGTGGTGGCAGGGCTCTGTGGTTCCATTTCTTGTCTGAAACACCACCACCCGGCCCAATAGTGGAGAGCCACATGGTAGAACCCTGTGCTCTGTCAGACGTCCACTGGCTCAGTCACTGTTAGTTCCACTTGCCCTGTTGGACAGCCCCTCCCCCCGAAGCTCTCTGTCCTCCTGGCTGAAGGAAGTGCCTGCTACCCCTGGCTTCCTCCCCTCTCCAGGCCATGCCATGAGCTCCTGGCTACAGGGCTGCGCCAGTGGGCTATCTACACGATCCTCCCTTCTTGTCTTCCATTTATGTCTTCCTGGTTGCCCACCTTTAGATGTTTCAGTGTGCAGTTCTCTCAGGCATGCCTTTGTATTGAGTAGGGAATTCTTTGTTGAATGATAGTTGATTAACTTGTTGAAATTTCAGGGGTAAAGGCCAAAGGGATCTCTCATGCCACCATTCCTCTGACCTGCTTTTATAACTGAAAAAACTTTTTCATTTTCCTTTGTTTACTATTACAGTCATGCATCACTCAACTGTAAGAAATGCCTCAGAGGCAGTTTTGTTGTTGTGCAAACATCACAGAGTGCACTCACACAAACCTCGGTGACGTAGCCCAGTACACGCCTGGGATACATGGTATAGCTTATCACTCCGAGGCCTCAAGCCTGTACAGCATGTTACTGCATGAATAGCGTAGGTAGCTGTAACGTGTTGCACTATGATGTTACAATGGCTATAACCTCACTAGGTGATGGGAGTTTTTCAGCTCCATTATAATCCAAGTGGGACCACCATTGTAGATGCAGTCTGCCATTGACCGAACGTAGTTAGGCGGTGCGTGGCCATATGGTCATGATGTGGTGCAGGACAGTGGATTTTTGTATGTTGGTCTTGAATCTTATAATTTTGCTAGACTCTCTTATTAGTTCTAATAGCTTTTTTGTTGATTCTGCATAGAAAACCATGATATCTGTAAATGAGGACAGTTTTATTTCTTCCTTTCCAACATTATGGCTTTATGTCCTTTTCCGCACTGTCCTGAGCTTCCACTACAGTGTGGAGGAGGAGTGGCAAAAGTGAACATTCTTGCCATGGGATTCCCTCAGAACAATGACTTCTAAAGACTGTTTTAGGAAGATTGTAGTGTGCCGCTATAAAGGGGGAGGAGCTAGAGTTATTGAGACAGCTGAGAAGACAGAGGAACCCTCTTTGCCCACCACTTCCCATCCTTCCAGTCACCACTCAATCATTCCACTCCACCCATATTTGGTTCCCAGCCCACCTGTGACTCTTCTGCTCAGCCCTTCCCCATTAACCCCATGTGGTCTACCTGTTTTCTCTCTCAAGCTTCAGTCCATCATTTCAGCCTCTTTTGGGGGCAGCATTCTCCCTTCCTACATCCTGTGGCTCACCCTTTCTCCACTGCTCAGAATGCCCCCACCCATACACCCCAATCCAGGATCTTCAGCCTAAGAAACCTAAATGAAGTTTGCAGTCTGTGATTCACCAGGCAGGGCTCTTTCCCACTGCCTGCAGGCCCCATTTCAGGTACCGCCATCCTACCACCATCCTGTGACACACTTGCTCAGTGCTTGATAGCAAGGGCTCTGGAGCCAGAGTACATACACTCAAACCACAGCTCTATAACATACCAACAGGGGGATCTTGGGTATATTACTTAGCCACCTGGTGCCTCCTGGATTAATATGCATAAGACACAGGACTGTGGCTGGTACAAGTAAGTGCTGTATGCGCTGTTATTGTTACCACTCCTTCCCCTCATCATGTACACATGTTCATGCCTCTCTTATCTTAAAAAGCAAAGCAAAACCCTCCCTTAACATCACAGGCATTCGCTTCACCTCCGTACTCTCCCCTCCAGCTCAGCCGTATTTCCTGAAAGAGTTGTCTGTGCTCATTAGTGCCATTTTTCTTTCTTTCTTTTTTTTAAAATGTATTTTATTGATTTTTTACAGAGAGGAAGGGAGAGGGATAGAGAGTTAGAAACATTGATGAGAGAGAAACATCGATCAGCTGCCTCCTGCACACGCCCCACTGGGGATATGCCCGCAACCAAGGTACATGCCCTTGACGGGAATCGAACCTGGGACCCTTGCATCCGCAGGCCGATGTTCTATCCACTGAGCCAAACCAGTTAGGGTGTTAGTGCCATTTTTCGCTGTCCTTGGCCCAGCCTCTTTCCTCAGCGTCACACTGGTGCTGCGCCTCCAAGTGGCCAAGCTGGCAGGCAGCCCTCAGACTAAATCTTCCCCGGCTGCACACAGCAGCACCTGAAACGGGACACACCTGCAGGGGCCCCTCTCCAGCTGCTGTGGCCCAGCTGCGCCTTATGGTCTTGGCCTGGGCCTGCTCTTCCACCAGCACAGCGCCTGAAACATTGTTGAGGCCCCAACATATTTATGAGTAAATGAGTGAACCTACAAACAAAGGAATCAGCAATGCTTTGGAAGAGAAGGAGAGAGGGAGGGAAAAGCCTGATGCCCGCCTGGGGGAGGGGGAGAGAGCCCAGGCAGCAGGGTGTTGGGCAGGAGATGGGGTGAGGAGACGCCTACTTGGTTGTGGTCCTGTGGACTGTAGGGGCATTTGAAACATGGGGTTGGGGCAGGAGACCCAGGTCTGGAGCCAGTGAGAGAGGACAGTTTGGAAACTTCAGAGCTGCTGCATTCCATTCACGTCTCAGAGGGTCCTATGTGGGGAGAGAGAGGAAGGTGGTCTGCTTTATTAATCAGGTCTTATGAATTTATTAAATAATGATCATGCCTTTAAGCATTGAACCATAGATATTTTCCTATACTTTATATACATCTAATACATCAACATTTATTTCTCTATAATTCTGATTGTTAACTTGATCAAGCTCTTTGAGCCATTTACTTAAAATTGTGAATAGAGTGCCAATCTCCCTCCAGTGCTTTAAGCATCTTTAAGCAGGCAGAACTCAAGCATCTCAGTGGTTAGTGTTGCTCTTTGGAGCCGTCTTGACTTTTCCGACCCCAGGCGTCAGCTGCCCTGCATGCAATCCTGGTTCCTTTGGGTGGAGAAGACTGTTGGAGATCCAAGTCTTAGGGACAAGGATGGGGTGTAGGGGAGCTGATGGGGGGCAGAGCTTTGGTTATGACCAACATTTTGTCGCTAAGGCTCTTGAAGTCTGAGTGAGACTTGGCTTATGCTGGGGAGTCAGATGGGGCTCAGGAAGGCCCAAGGCTCATGGATGGAGGGAGGGACAAGGGAGGAAGAGAACCTGGTCAAGAGTGCGCCTGGGGTGGACTTGCCCTTTCCTGTGTTGGGTGCTCAGGACCTTCAGCCCAGGTTCCCCAGGGCCGTGTGACTTTGGTTAGGGCCATGGTCGGCAAACTGCGGCTCGCGAGCCTCATGCGGCTCTTTGGCCCCTTGAGTGTGGCTCTTCCTAAGCCTTAGGAGTACCCTAATTAAGTTAATAACAATGTACCTACCTATATAGTTTAAGTTTAAAAAATGTGGCTCTCAAAAGAAATTTCAATCATCGTACTGTTGATATTTGGCTCTGTTGACTAATGAGTTTGCCGACCACTGGGTTAGGGAAATAGGATAGGGGTCCATACAACCGCCCGTCCAGACAGTGAAATTCAGGGAAGGCACACGTTTAGAAAAAAACGAGAGGTAAGAAAGTAGAGAAGTGGGAGAGCAGGATGTGTGCATATGGAACTGTCTTTGGAGCAGTTTGTCAGCCAACGGAAGATTTGAACGTCTACCTGGAAGGACATAGTAGGAGAATATGTGTGGCCAAAGGAGACAGAGGTGGGGAAGATGCTGCCGAAGGGGGTACAGGAGATGGGAAGGATCCCTGAGAAGGCAGGAGAGGTGGGTGCAGTGCCACGGTCGCCTGGACAGAGCAACTCAGAATTGGGTAGGGGAGGCCTCAGCTCACTCTTGGGCCTCTCTGCCCTCTGAGTTCGCAGCAGCCCTGGGCTGGGCTGGGAGGGAGGGCCAGTGGGGTGGTCTGCCAGTCCTGCTGGCTCTGAGCTCCTCTTTCCATCTATACCCCTCTCCAGTGCCGATACCTGTGGGGATACAACCCCTTTGACCAGGGCTGCGCCAGCAACTGGTATTTAGCAATTTGTGCACCACTGGGACCCAAGTAAGTTGGCAAACCAGAGGTCCACGCAGTGGCCCATGGAGCCGGTGGGGTGGGGGGAAGCTGGGCCATCTCTCCTGGCCTCTTAGCACAGTTCCCAGATCCTCACACTCACTGTTCTCTGAGGTTTCCTTCAGGGCGTTGTGGGAGCTTCCAGAGCCTTCCTACTTCCTTTCATTCCTGTCCTAAGAAATGGAGTAGAGGGATATGCAGGCCGGATAAGACCGGCCCCAGCTCCCTGCAGGCCCAAGTCCTGGACTGTGTGTTCCCTAAGCTGAGGAGGCATGGGGACCAGGCCAGGGGGGCCACTACCCCTTGCATCTGGCTTATTGCTCCCCAGGTACATGGCCAAAGCTGTCTGGCTGCAGAGGGTGGTGGAGCCGGACTGGGTGCTCATGCAGAACCTGCATTGCCCAATGTGCCCCTCTGCACTCAACCCCTCAGTCGTCCCTGGGCCTGCGTCTGCCCACCAGCCCCAACCTCTGGCTCCCCACAGACCAGGAAATGCTCCCCCAGGGAGTGGGGAGGCGGCAGCCCTCCAGGAGGTGAGTAGTGAGTGTGTGCTGGGAGAGGGGTGGGTTCGGATTGTACAGGTGCTGGGGGGAAGCCCCCCCCCCATATTGGGCTGGCTCTGAAGCTAGAGCGCTCAAAGCTCGAGGGAGGGGCGTATAGACGGAGGAGTGCTGGAGGTGGGGCCACAGTCCTCCAGGTAACACCGGGGTTCCTGGAGACACAGAGCCTACTTCCTCCAGGTAACACCGGGGGTTCCTGCAGACACAGAGCCCACACCCCTCACTGCTGGCTAGTCTTGGGCGGTCACTTACCCTCTCTGAGCCTCAGCTCCCTCAGCTGTAATGAGGACTGAAACGAGCCCAGTGGTTTATAACTTAGGGGGTCAGTTTCCTTTATTTAAAGTCATTTTTCTTCTCTGAAGTCCAATGGGGGTGCCATGACATTCTATGGTGCCAGCCCACTCCCTTTGCTCTGCCTGGGGGCGGTGGTGGCTGGACAGTTTCTTGCTCCCCAGCAGGTGGGCCCTGAGCTGTGGGCAGGGGCTTGGGAAAAGACCCCACACCCCCACTTCGTTCAGCTCCACGCAGGCCCAGTGCTGCCCCTGCCACAGGAGGCCCCCAGATGAGGCTTGCCCCTTCACACCCAGCGATGCCCGGAGTCCCTGCCCCCGAACCTCACCTCCTGAGCCCGCCCTTGGTGGGAATTCCAAGACCATCCCCCTTCCCCCACCAAAGTCCATTAAACACCCTTTTTCTGCTGTACAATTGCCCCGCTGCGTGTGTCTGTCCTGGGTGTGAGGGGCTGGGACAAAGACCCTGGGAGGGAGGAAGGTCCAACACTAGTTGGCTCTGTGACCTTGGGCAAGACACTCAGATTTCTCTCGTTCTTAAAACGGGACCAACCATAAAACCCACAGTAGCTGTCCTGGCCGCCGGCCTCCAAGGGAAAAGCCCCACACTGTCAGGGATGTCAGCCCCGGGAAAGATCCGGCCCCGCCCTGCCACACCGCCGCCTGGCTGCAGGGGGCGCCCGCTGCCTGGGAATTCGCCAAGCCTGGCCTGCTCCAACCCGAGGCCTTGGAGCCACCTGGGTGGGTGGGGGCTGGCCCTCCGTCTGGGAGTGGGCCCTCGCGATCCTCATCCCTGGAGGTGGAGAGTGGGTGTCTCCACCATAGTCCGGCCCTGCTTCTTCCTGCTAGCGGGTCTCACCTTAGTCCCTCCCTTCTGGGTAGTCAGGTCCTGTTCCTGCGCAGGGCCCCAGGCCCTGGGAGCCCGCAGGCCCCTTGAGGGGGTGGTGTATGCGGGAGTCCACAGGAGACTGCGGCTCCTCTTGGAAATAATGGCACCTTCCTGAAAGGTGGTCAGGGGCTGGAGCGAGTGAGGTGGTTCCTGCAAGACAGGTGGCACACAGTAGGCGCACAATGAATGCAGCAGTCGTTATTTTCTCCTCCACACAGCTAACAACACCCAGGGTTTCTCCAAAGACCACCTTCTCAGAATTACCTGGGCCCCGGCCGCCGACCCAAAATGGGGCCCCCTCCATTCCATGGGAGGGGTGGGGGGGTGGGAAGGGCGAGAATTTGAATCGGAATTTTTACCAAGTGCCCATGTGACCCTGGCCATCTGGAAGTCTCAGAACTACTGCCTTCGGAGGTGAGGATGGGGAGCCACCACCTTGCTTCCCTCCTAGCCAGGTGAAATTGGGGGGGGGGGGGTGAAGGTGAGGCGGTCAGATGAGCACCACAGGGGCCTGTGGGGGTGGCTGTGCCTGTGTGAGCCTGCACATGCTGTGTGCTGGCGGCAGGAGCTCATTCTCCAGGCGACCTACAGTGCAGGACACCGGGCTCCAGGTCTCATATGCTGAGCTCCTGAGAAGCGGCCTTTCCCTCTGCCAACTCCACCGGCTGCGGCCACCAGGGCCTGTCCCTGTCCAGCCCCAGCCTCACCAGCCACTCTGGCTCTGGCTCTGAGGCTCCTGGCCAGCCTTGTGCAACCCCAGGACTCCAGCTATTTCTCATCCCCTTTGCCCTGCTCCCAGTGTCTCCCCAAACCCCAAGCCCCCTTGGGGTTCATGCTTTTTCTCAGCTCTCATCTCTGCTTAACTCAGCATTGCCCTGGCGTCTGGGGAGGGGTGCAGAGTACTGCTCCCCGGCAAGCAAAAGGGCAGCCCAGTGTGAGCGTAAGTGGCCACAGTTAAAATTCCGAGAGCCCGCATTTACCAGCAAAGCTGAAGCAGCCTCAGGTGGCCTGGGAAGCCCGCTGCCCATGGTCACATGACGAAGGAAGGAAGGTATGAGGCCTTTTCGGCCCCTGAGCCTAGGTGTGTATGTGAAACACGGATCTGTGTGAGTCTCTTCTCTGTGTGCAGGGGGCACAGCTCAGCCCGGGCTGGTGAAATGGGGCACCCGCAGAGCTCTCAGGCCCACTCCCAAGTGCGAGTCCTTGGGGTGGCCTGGGCCTGGTCCAGAGTGGACAAGATCCAGGAACCTGGGCCAAGGCCTGGGTGGGGAGGTGTTCATGGAACTGGCTGGTTCGGGAGTGGCATCTACCTGCAGTCCGGCTGTGCAGAGGGCTGAGAAGGCCAAGTCCCAGGGCCTGGGTGGCCCTAGTCCTGCCTTGCCCACCCCCTCACTGCCCTGACTGGTTCAGAGCTGGGTGGCTGGTCATCAGGACTTCACTTACCGGTGTTAAAAAACAGAATTCAACTGAGTAAGCTTGAAGATCTAATTGGGTTTTTTATTTTTAATTTTTACTTTAAAGATTTTTAAAATTGATTTTTAGAGACAGAGGAGGAAAGGAGAGGGAGGGAGGGAGGGAGAGAGAGAGAGAGAGAGAGAGAGAGAGAGAGATCAAATATGAGGACATTGATCAGCTGCCTCCTGTAAGCCCCCTGCCAGGGATAGAGCCCGAAACCCAGGCATGTGCCCTGACCAGGAATGGAACCAGCAACCATTCTGTGCCCAGGACAACGCCCAGCCAACTGAGCCACACTGGCCAGGGCCTAATTGGCTTTATTAAATGACTCATGAAGGGTGCTCTGAGGGGTGGTATAAAAAGGAAGGTTTTTATAGGAAGAAGAGTGGGGCAAGGGAGCTATGAGCAAAAGAAAAGAAAGGTTATTTTGGGGCCTGAATGTCATTTTGGGGGAAGAGAACGGGAGGGTTTTGCCATTCAGATTGCCTTTTATTTCTATGGGGCATGGAGAGGGCCTACATGACAGATTATGTTATTGGTGCTTGACAGGAAAATTCCAGCCTGGGTGAGATCACTCTTCTGGGAGAGGTTGAAACTGCAGTTAGATCAGGTATTAAACCTACGTTTGGCATCATGAGCTTTAGCACGAGTGGTGCCGTTTTGAGCCTGTGGTTTTCTCTTCAATACCAGGTCCCTGCCTCCAGCTACATAGGGGGTTCTCCCCGACTCAGGCCAGGCCTTCCAAGTCCTAAGCCAGGGTGAGTCATCTCCTTGACAGCCTGAGCACAGATGTAACTTTCCTCAGATTCTCGAAGGAGGCCTTGACCCCCCCTGCTGTGGGATGAGGATCCTAGGTCTTTCTAGTCTCTACCAGCCTCAGATTTCTAGGACTTCTGCTCCTCTAGGGGTAAGTGGGACCTAGCCCGCCTCTTTTTTTGACCATCCCCCCACCTCGCCCCCTCTCTGTTATGCATTGGGGCCCCTCAGATAGTCTTTCCTGCCAGACTGGGGGCATCAATGGAGCTGCACCCACCTTCCTTTTCTCCTCCCTCCCCATTTCTGTTGAACTTGCCCTTGATTCTCAGACACACCTCTTGAAGTCCCACTGAACCTAAAGGAGGGGTGTTATCAGGGACCATTGTTGGAATCTACTCTCCACACCTCATGGAGCCATGCCATCCCTGCCTTCCCTTGGGCTGCAGCCAAGGGGTGACCCCTACCCTACCCCCTCATCACCTCTAGAGCTTTCCTCCACGGACCTTCTAGAGGTCAGGGCGTGTGGGTGGGAAGAACACTGAGCTGGGAGTCAGTTATCACTCAGCTCTGCTTCAAACTAGTGCTGCAGGAGCACGTCTCTCCCTTCCACTTGGCCCAGGTTCGTTGTCTATACACACGATGACCATGGCTCCCTCCCCGGTGGTCACGGGGGGTCATCTCACCCAGTTGCCCCTCCACTCCCAACGACAGATGGGAACTAGACAGGGGAAGGACTGCTTAGGGTGACAGGGTCTCCGAGGCAGGGGGGCACGCTCCGTTTTTCCCAGGCTCCCTCCCGCTCCTGCCCAGGGGACCATTGCAGAGGAGGAAGGCCTACGGCAGTGACCACAGGGCCCTGCCTTCCAGCCCCCATGCCTCAGAGCCAGGCCCTGCATTGCAGCACAAGGCTTGGGAAGCTGATAAGAAGTCCGGGCTTAACTCTGTCTCCAGCCCTGTGCTGGGAGCGATAATGACGCCCTGCTGCCTCCCGCTCAGCCCTGCCCTGCTCTGCCCTGCCCGCCTCACCCAAGGGGCCCTGCAGGTGGCTGAGGGTGGGGCAGGGCAGGGGCTGATGGCGCAGAGGAGGTTGCAGCAGTGTCCTGACATGGGGGCCAGAATCCTAATACCTCGCAGGGCACAGGCCCCTGCCTGGCTGCCCCTCCTGGGCACCCGGGCACAGTGCCTGGCACCCCGGGTGATGCTCCATCGGCACCCTGTCCTCCTTTAGTTCCTGCATGCAGAGCGAGGCTGGAAGGACGTGGCCCTGGGCTGGAGGTTTGCCAGGGCCTGGGTAACAGAACTTTTATTGAGCACCTTCCGTGCCAGGTGGTTCATAAGATCGCCTTTAACCCTCATAACAGCCCTCTGAAGCTGTTATTCTCGTGTTAGAGATGAGAAAGCTAGCGCTGAGCAAACACCACTTCCCCAAGGTCACCTGCAACTGCGTGGCCGAGCCCATGCCATGCCGGCCTTTCCCATTGCACTGGCTTCACAGCAGCTCTCCTCCCCGTCCACTCAGAGCTCTGGTTAAGACATAGGCTCTGAAGCCAGACGGCCTGGTTCCCCGGCCGGAGGTGAATACCTATCTCAGCCCCATTGCGGAGATTCGTTCTGCAGGGCATGCGAAGAGATTGGCATAATCGACAGCACAGTATGATCCTGGGGCCTCAGGAAGCCGGGCACATGGCAACAGCAGCCTGCTCCTGCCCAGTCTGGTGTGGGTTTCCTAGTGGCCGGGCAGCAAAGGTGAAGGATGCTGCTTCCTAGGGGAGGTTGTGGTGGCATTTTACAGAAAATCAAGCAGCACTGCTGTCTCCGGGCCAAAGGGGAATGGAGCCTGGGCTGAGTCTTCAGGGAGCAGCAAGATGACCACGCGTGGGTGCTGCCCTCCCACAGGGAGTTCTTGTTAAGACAGCACCTGGTTGCCCTGGCCGGTTTGGCTCAGTGGATAGAGTGTCGGCCTGCAGACTGAAGGGTCCTGAGTTCGATTCCTGTCAAGGGCACGTACCTCAGTTGTAGGCTCCTGGCCCTGGTCGGGGGCTGCAGGAGGCAACCCATCGACATGTATCTCACATGAGTGTTTCTCTCTGTCTCTCCCTCTCCCTTCCACTCTCTCTAAAAATCAATGAAAAAATATCCTCGGGTGAGGATTAAAAAAAGAAAAAAGAAAGCACCTGTTGTTCCTGCTTTGTGTGTGTGTATGTGGCGGGGGGGGGGAGGGTGCCCCAGGCTGAAGGAAATCACAAGCTATGGTGTTCTGAGCCCTGTGTCTGGGCCACGCT